CTGGGCTCCTTTGCCATGGGGGAGCTGCTTGGTGGGGGGGAGGATGCTCCTAACGCACCGCATGAGCCCCCCGTTCCCAAGGAGATGTGGCCACCTGGGGTCCCCCATGCTCCTCCCCGTGTCGCTGCCGCTGCGCTTTCCCACCGCGTTGCCGTGACAACGCGGGATCCAGCACCGCAGCATCCGGCACCGCATGGGCCTCCCCGTGGTGTGGCCTCCCCTCCCGCCCCGACACCCGGTGATGGGCCCATGGCACCGAACTGCCAGCGCCAATTGGATTAACGGTGGAGATCCCAAAGCCTTCGCCTTGCAAACATATGGATTATCCTGCATAACCCCGGCTCCGTGCGGGAAAAACCACCCCGGGATTAGCGGGAGGATCGGGGGCAGCGCCTGCCCAGTGAATGGGTTGGGGGGATGCGATGGGGCGGGGGGGGGGGGGGGCTCAGCACCATTCGGCAGCAGCACAAGGGTCGTGGGTGAGCCCGGGGGGGTGAAGCGGAGCCGGTGGCCGAGGCCGGGTGGGAGGGAAGGGGGGGTCCCAGCAGCCCCCGGCGCCGCTCTCGCGGCTCCTTGCGGGGAGCGATGGCTCCACCGCCGCTTCCCGCTGCCTCTGACCCAGCGGTTTCCATGGCAACTGCCAGCCCCGCACGGCTCCCGCAGCACTGACAGCCCCCCCCCCCCCGGGGAGCAGCACCCCCAGCAGCGATGCTTGGGGCCCCATTGGGGGAACAGGAGCATCCGCATCCCCCTGCATCCGCATCATCCTCCATCCCCGTTCTTCTCCATCCCCATCCTCCTCCATTCCCATCCTTCTCCATCCCCATCCTCCTCCATTCCCATCCTTCTCAATCCCCATCCCTCTGCATCCTCATCCTCCTCCATTCCCATCCTTCTCAATCCCCATCCCTCTGCATCCTCATCCTCCTCCATTCCCATCCTTCTCCATCCCCATCCTCCCAAGGCTGGGAAACATTCCGGTCTCCCATTGAGGAGCCCCCTCCCCTGTCACAGCAGTGTCCTGATCACATACAAGGTCAGCGCTGGCCCTGGGCTGGGGACGGGGCGGGGGGGGGTCTCACAGCTCCCATCCCCTGCCCCATCCCATAGGAACAATGACAGAGACCATCCCATCCCATCCCATCCCATCCCGGGGCCACACTGACCCCACCGGGGCCATTCCGGGACGCACGGGGCGTTCCTGTGGATCCATGGGCAGGATCCATCCTCGTCGGCAGCTGCCGTGTTTCCACGGCAACGTAGCCCCATCGCCATCAATATTTGCCCGCAGGCAGCGCTGGGAGGCCGCAATTCCTGCATCAGGGAGCTAATGAGCCATGATGCCAGAGGGACAGGGACGGGCATGGGAAGCAAAAGCATCCCCAGGGAGCTGCTGGAGCGCCAGGCCGGCAGCGGGAGCTGCGGATGCCGGTGCTGCTTTAGGGTTCAACCCCTTGAGGTTGTAACGACCACCCCGGCGTCAACCATCACCAACCGCATGGCTGCAGGGGGCAGGAGCAGCTCGCTCCCATGGGAAGGGCCAGGTCCTGCTCGGCCGTGCTCCCACCCCAGCAGCCGTCACAAACCCGGTTACACTTCAGAGAACACCAGGGATTCCTTCCAGCAGGCGGAGGCTCCCCCAGGGATGGGGTTGGGAACCCTGGAGGCTGCTCCATGCTCCGCACTGATGGGCTGGGCACAAAGGGAATGCGGTCAAGGACAGAGCACAGCAGAGCCATGGAAGCACCAGCTCTTTCCCACTGACGGATTCATCCATCCACCTTTCCCCCTGCCCCTGGGCATCCTCCTCCAGACTCCTGCTCCAAAGCTCCCGGCTGCTCCATGGCATCCAAGCACATCCTAAGGGCCCCAGGCCCAACGCTGACTGCTGGGAAGGAGCTTTAACCAAGCTGAGCACACAGGGAAGACCCCAGCTCTGCTCCGTGGGGAAACAAACGGGTCCAAGAACCAAAAGAATCCTGCAGGAGACAGCAGGGAATGCCGCTCATGCTGGCCGGGAAGCGGCAGGCCCTCCAGCCAGAAAGCTCCAACACACCTAAAGCATTAAACTAGAGAGTATTTGACTGGGAAGTGGGTTATTCCATGGGTATTAGCTAGAATATAGGGAAAGTTTAGGAATGTGAAGTAAAAAAGGCAGAGTGCCAGGTCGCAGCTCCGCTCCATGGCTGGTCAGGATAGGACACGCAGCCCAGTGCCCTTTCGGGCATCACCACCACCCGCTCCCCATGGATGCGCACGAGGAGGATCCCAGTAACACAAACCAAGCTGGAATTACGTGAGGAGGGAAAAATCAGAAGCAAAACAGGCACAATAAAGAGAGAGGGAAATCAGAAGCAAAGAATACAGAAGAAATTTATTGAAAGCACAAGTACAGACTGGCCAACAACTGCTTTCTACAATCTGAACAGTAAATAATGGAGCTACAGAAAGGTACAAAGGTTGTTATAAAATAGTTTTAATTTCATTTCTTTTTGCATTACAAACATTCGTTGAAAGAGGCAATGGAATTCTGATGGTGTGGTAACGCTTCCCCTCCCCACCCCGCCTTCCGCAATACTGAACCTGGAATCGCTGTTATCAAAATATACAATACATCTGTTTCACCATAAAAAAACCGGGTTTTGCTGCCCCCTCATGTCTTACAACAGGTATAAAAAAAGTATAAATATGTACACCCTTTTGTTACTCACATTCTTTACATGCAAACACAGGGATCCAAAGGAAAAGACCCACGGGTGCCTGGTCGTGGGTCACCTCCATTTGCCTGCACTTGGTTCCAGCCCGTGGGGTGACCGAAGCAGCGGTCAAGGCACCCCCCCAGGGGCAAGTCTCCTTCCAAGCAGCCTCTTCCCAACACCCTGGGAGAGGCTTCTCAAACACATTTCAGATCCAAGCCCGGCCCCAGGGCTGCAGGGGAATGGGTTTGTCACCTGGGGAGGGACACCCACCACCAGACGCCTGGGTTTGCCCTCCTGAACGTTGAGGTGCTGGCAAGGAGGCGCGGAGCTGCAGCAAGAGGCTTTTGCCCACGTTTCGGGGTAACCAAACCCGGTGGCGCCGGCACAAGTGGGGCAAGGCTTCCAAGGAAGCTGGTTTTCCACGCCGCAGCCAGACACCCCCCCTCCTGTCAGCAGCCCAAGCTGAACCCTCACTCAGACCTCACGCGCTTCTCCAGTACAATTCACATCCTTGAGAGCTCAGGGAGGAGCTACGGCAAGTTAAGACTTTTCCAAACACTCAGTGCCAGGCAAGTCAAGAGCTCCCACACTAAGCCAGGAAATCCTGACTTGCAACACACTAAGACAATTAAAAAACAAACTTTGGTCCACAATTTGCAGGAAAAAAAAACAAAACTAAACAAAAAACCCTGAAAAAAAGTACAAGATTCGTGTTATTTTGCATCCGAACAGGTTGCAGGTTAGAGGGAAAATGTAAGGCAACATCGGATCACACGAAAGAGAAGGCAGAATGGCCCGGGAAAGAGGCAGAAGCCAGGAAAAACAAACAATACATGGGTTTTCTTGGGGGGGGGGGGGGGGAAGAAACCAATCTGCTGCAATCTACTTTTAATAAATTCCCTTCCTATAACTTAGATCTGGGCTTCGAGGTTAAAAAGGTAAAACCTTCACCTGCGTCCTTTCCTTTAAGGCACAAGCTCTTTGTGCCCGTCACCTCCACCGCTTGGCTTCCCAAGTCTGCTTTTTGCTTCTGGTGTTTCACGGATCTCGGTACATTCCTCATCCTCAGTCATGACCTCAGCCTGCAACTAAAGATTCCTGCCCTACTGATTTCAATTACCAACGAAACAAAACAAAACAAAAACCAAAAAGAGAGAAAGGAAAAGTACAGTATAGAGGGTAATAGCACAAAGGAGTAAATTTAGAGTACGTTTATACCATCTTACCATTCTATAAAAAAAGGTACTTAAAACTATTTCTTTTGCATAATAAAGAGATTAGAATATTTGGTCAACTGGAAATATTGCTATAGGCACAGATGACAGCAACAGCATCCAAAAGTATAATACAAGAATTAACACCCCACCACCCCCCCAAAAAAAAAAGCTCAAATGCTGAAGACATGCTATAAGAACGATGGCAGAGCTACACTGGTCTTGTTAATCTCAACTCAGGGGCACGAAGGTGGCTCAGGGGAGCACCTTCCTAAACGTGGGATATCCCATAATTCTCCGAATCCTAGCCGAGTATTTAGACATAGATATTTACACACACGATTTCTGAGAGACTCGTAATGATTCGTCTTCACAAGTGTCCAGCAGTGGTTAATTTTGTCTCTTGATGGGAGGCTCCCGCACAGGCGGAGCCTCCGGCGCTATCAGCAATGGAATGTCAGTTGGGTTTGGGAACATTTCCCCACCCTGGCCCCTTCTGCTCGGTCCCAATGTGATGGATGGGCAAAGGAACTCCCTACTCGGCAGCTTGCAGATGGTGATAAAGCAGGAGCAGAGTGGGAAGTGGCACGAGACACACGATACTGTGCACACGGAGACATTTCACAACTGCCTGAAGAGTCAAAGCCCAATATTTTCTTTATCCACTTTGCCACCTTCACCTCTCCACCACCACAAGCTGATCCCGTTAAGCCAGAGCTCACTCATTGCCCTCAACTCTCCCAAATCCACTCCCTGCAGTTCAGATGTTTTCCCCAAAGAAGGAACAGGTTTTTAAGGCACAGGACAGCAGATGCACAGTTAAGGTAGGATCAACAGCCAACTTCTCACAGTGCTGGGTGAGTTGGGAGCTCCTGGACACCACGGGTTTGCAAACTCCTGACTCGAAAGGCGCTCAAGTGAATTCACACAGTGGTTTTAGGTCTTTCAAGGCATGGATGGGTAAAGAAAATAGACAAGGCATCAATGTGAAACCTGATCAACATGGTAGGATCTGCTTTTTGGAGGAAGGAGGGGAGAAGGAACAGCAAGGGAGAGGGGGAAACTTCCCAGAGCAGGTTCCAAAGTGTAAACTTGAACTTGTGATTTTTATTGGAACAGTCAGGATTGTTACCCATCACCGCAAGAGGAATTAAGATTTCACTGGGTTTTGTTTTTAAAACCGGTAAACCGATTTCTCTCTAAAAAAATAAAAATCTCTGGTCTTTTAAGGTCACTTCAGCTGCATTTTTAAAGTGGCTTTTTTTTTTTTTTTTCATGGAATGATGGAAGTTGAAACCCTCGTGTTCAGCCTTTGAAGAAGGCCTAAGGCTGAACCCAAGAGGTTTTAAGTCAAGTCCATTTTGTCTCACGCCTTCCAAAGCTTTAGATGGTGGACTTCGAGAAGGACACACGCAGGTGATGGTTCTCACCCAGGTCATGGTTATGGAGGTCAATGAGGGACTGGATGGCCTCTTCCACAGAGCCCATCTGGATCAGAGCCATCTTACGGTCCTTCCTGACAAGACAGAAGGTTAATCAAGATCAGCACCACCTTGTGCTGAGCTTCCCCAACATGACACAGTGTTTTCTGATCGAACACTCAACGCCAGCAGGAAATTAACTGCCCAGGAAACTGCAGTATCCTTCCTTTTTACATGCAAGTGCCTCTCTCCATGAAAAACAGGCATATCCAAAGAGCTCACTTGGCTGCCTTGGTTTTCAACCCATACCATGCACTTAATCCAGGGTTATTCCTGAATTCTTTACTGCAGAGAACCAAATACTGCATCAGTGACGGTTCTGCTCACCTGAGCCCGAGTTGGAACTCCCTCAGAACAAAGTACTTCTAACCCTTCTCATACTGAAAAGCCCAGGGTAAGGAGAGGATGCAAGACAAAACACTTACTGGAAGAATTTGAATCCTTTGACCACCCCACTGTTGCTTGAAAACAACATCTTAAGGTCTTCTTCAGTTACTGAAGGTCTGAAACAGAAGGTTTTCCAGTCAAATGTATGCTGACAGGCTAAATTCACCCCTAGATACAAATCCTCATCTGAGCCTTTCCTAAATTCTCTACCAGCAGCTCCTTGAACTGGCAAGGCTGAGAGAACAACGGGAATAGGGGCAAGCTCTCCTCCTGCTCGCCCCATAAAGCTGCCTGTGTTTACCCTGCCACTAAATTTGCAGCCCACTTTATACTCAGCTCCAGAGGAACTCTCCAGGAGGATACTTACGGAATGTTGGACAGATGAAGAGTGGCAGAAGGAGGAAAGATGTTCTGGAAATTTTTGGAGCCTGGTTTCTTGAAACGATGTAGAGGAGAATTCCCATAGTCCTTTGTCAGGCCGTGGGTTTCCTGCCCCTCACGGGGGAGCTGGACTGTCTGGTGCTTGGACAGGGTGATACGGATGGGCTTCCCGTGGAGCTTCTGCCCATTTAAATGGCTCATGGCTGCAAGGGTTAAAGACAGCGCTGACTGCAACAGGCTTCACTCCTTTACTCAGCTACACCCATTTCATTCTGGTTCTTCCCCATGCAGGCACCACATCCTCCAGGAGCTGCAGGACAAACACTGGTACTCTGCTTTCCTGCACTGTCTGGTCCATTTTCCCTCTGGGTTTGCTCACCCAAATCAAGCACACCTTTCTCCAGAGCTGCCCCAGCCTGCACTATGTACGCAAGCAAGCGCACGGACACATTCAGGTTTGGGGTCTTTGTTTTGGAGGAAGAGAAAGGACTGATATTAAAGCTTTAATTCCCCATGGGGCCTCTTAATGCCAACAGTCTGATACTGCTCAAGCCTGCTTACCAAGCTGGGCCTGGTTTCCATCAGTCATCTGAACGAGGGCATTCTCTTTCTTCTTAAATAAAATCTTCACCCTCTGCACATCACCATAGACTCCTTCAATAAGTGAGGAAAGAAGAAGATTCTTTAGGTAGGGAAAAAACCCCACAAAGTCTTTTTAACTTAATATTAGCTAATCAATCCAACAGCAAAAACATTCATTCACAACCAGAACTGATCTCATTCCAACCATGGTTACTTATTCTGCTCTAGTTAAGGAAAATTCTTATATAGCAGAATAATAATGGAACAATACATTAAAGAAAAGACACTGGGTTTCAGCAAAAAAGCAAAACTCTTACTGCCAGAAGACTGGACAATTTAGCATGCTATCACCATTTAAAACTCTTCTAAAAGGCATGCAAAGCAATAACCCATGCATAACTGAACATAAACCAAAAGGCAAACTAAATTAAATAGCAAACTTTAAGTAAAACAATGTAAAATAAATGAAAACAAATAAAAATTACGCATTCAAAACCAAAAACTAAAGCAAACTGCAAACTGTACATTTCTGAAGTATCAACAAAAAAAGTAAATCTCAACTAAATGAAAAAAAAAACAAGGTAATAAAAAGTGTGAATAATAACATACCGAAAAGAATAAAGAGGCATTGGGGTGTAACTCTCTTTAGAGAACAGCAGAGCAAGGCAGCGGAGGGACAGGGAAGAGGTAAGGAATCGAAGGGGAGAGCGAGGTTGCACAAATCGTCCACAACGAGGAAGGGCAGAGTCCCCGCAGGAAATGGCGAAATTGGTTGATGGATGATGAAGTTTTCAAGATGGTTAATATTGAAGGGCAGGTTGGTTTCCGAAGAGCAGGGTTTATGGTTTTTTTTTTTGGTTTGGTTTGTGTTTGTTGGGTTTTTTGTTGGGTTTTTGTTTGGAAGGGGAATGTTTTGTGTTTTTTTTATTGTTTTGTTTCAAGCAACAACAGGAAGCAGAAGTACCGTGCAGTCAGTTGGCAAAGAAATTCCGGATCAGGGGAAGAAAAAAAATTCAGGGATGGGGAGAAAAGAAAAAAAAGTAGCAAAAAACACAGGTCAGTAAATACATAAGGAAATATGTAGTGTTCCATCAGTCAGATTTATAGAATTCTACATACAATAACTCGTTTACAGAAACAGTTAATAGGTTTTACCTAGTGGAACACAATGATAAAGAAAAGGCATTTTTACTTAAGATATACAAAGAGGTAAGAGACAGTATCACAACCGAGTGACTTCTACAGGCTTCAACAGTCAATTCCACTGCAACGGGATTCCCTAAAACTGGATTTAAAAGTATCTGCTCCGATTGCAAGAATTTCTTAAGGGGAAATGACTTCACAGCTCGGGTCAAACCCAGCTGCATTTGCTGCTTTAGGCCCGGAGACTGCAGAAGTGCTCCATGCTGTGCAGCCCAATTCACTGCCTTTACGGCAAGAGATGGCTCTGGATGAGCAGCTGTACCACTATACAAAACCCCTCAAAGGTCTGCTAAAAGCTCTTGCTCCAGAAGAACTCGGTATCTGGTTTGCAAGAGGCCTCCAAGGCTTGAGCTCACCACGTAGAAACCCCAAACTGCTGCTATGCAGGCAGCTGGAAAGGCATGAAAAACCTCCCTGCGCCCAGCACTTTGTATTCCAAGTCAAGCCAGACTTCTTCCACTCATCGTGGCAAGGAAAAAGGGAGTTATTTCAGTTTCCACAGTTCCAAATCAGGGAAAACCCACCTACGTTATGGCAGAGCAGTCACTCCAGAGAAATACTGTCTCTTAACTAACCAGTTGTGGCACAGGTAAGTTTCTACAACACTGATTATACAGGCAATGGAAAAAAGTTTCATGTCTGTTAGTTCACAGCTTCAGTACAAGTATCAAAGTCTCTCTAGCCCAAAGATAAGCTGGATGGATAGTGAAGAGCTCACCAAAAACCACAAGGCATGAAATAACTGCTCTCTCCTACTTCACCAAGAACTGCGTGCACCGTTCAGACACTGCTCGGAGCTGAGAACTCGTGCAAGTTTAACAGGTCCAGCACAGCCCTTGGGCCTGCCACTGCCACCCAGGCTACCAAATCCTCCCAAGAACCACACTCCTGACAGCGCTGGTTGAGAATAATGTCACCAGCTCCTAACGTTTGGGACTTCTGTTTGACCAGCAAGTCATGGGAGCGAGGCAGCGGTGACACCTCCTGGGATGGCAGAGGAGTTCCTAGGTAGAAGAGCAACTCATCCAAACCAAAGCTGTATCCCAGTCCCTGCCATTATTTCATGCCCTGGAGAAAACAGTAATGACAGATAAAAAGAGCAGTCTGAAAATATTGAGTCAATTGGTTCATCTCATCACGAGTTAAAAACACTTTGATCATTCATCACATCCAGGCTTTCCCTTTGATGCAAAAGAGGTTTTGTGGTTACTCTGACATCACCGGTAAGTTTGAGAGCTTTGCCAAGTAGCATTAAACTTGTGTGCACAGTCCCACCAGTTAAAGGGGTTTGCAGCAGAGACTCTACTGCACACACTAGAAGATTCTACACTTTCAATCCAACAAAGAGCCAAAAGCTGACTGAAAAAGTCCAAGATACCCACATCAGATTCTCTTGTGCTGCTGTCTTTAGTGAAAGATTTTTGTTCAAATATTATTTGCTGTATTTTTAAAGGAATCCAAATATTTCAACTCACTAAGTTAATTAGAATTGAAAATGTGAACTGTGAGCTGTTAAGGGGTTTAGCTAAGGAAAAACTTCCAGGGATCTTGGAAAGGGAAAATGTGCAAGCACATGGCAGAGGAAATACTGCACAGGTACAAGGTCAAGCTGGCAGGCGTCCAGACACTACACAGAAAGAGCAAAGGTCAGAACAAAGTCTCTCTGTAGTTCTGAATTAATGTATTAAAAACTAGAACATGCCAAGGAAAAGAAAGCATGGACATGACTATTCTGTGACCCAAATGACACTACTCCATGGGAATGGCAGGGAGACTCCAAATAAAAAGAGGGAGGAAGGGACAGGCATTGTAGTCTTTATGGGATGAGAGCAGGCAGGCAGCATCCTTGGCTTTGAACCAAAGAAGAGCAAGGTTTTAATTTGAGATGGACTTTCTCATTTCCCTTCAGCAACTAGAGTACTGATCTGCTTTGAGTTTGAGAGCTGGCAGAGCACAGCAGCTGCTTTTCTAGTTTTGCCATTTCCTTTAGGTTATGGCAGCATTTCACTTTCAATGACTTTCAGCACAATCTGTGTTCAGAAAGTGAAAGCAGAGGTAATAGAAGGAGGAGAAAAAAAAAGAGTAAAGTTAGGACTCCACTAACCTCAGGATTCAGACTGCTAACCAGCAGCACACAGTTCCCTGCCCCAGTGAGGCCGGGAATGGCAATCCGTCCTGCTGCAGCCGCTGCAGCTGCTGGGATAGCCAAAGGAGCTAGTGCTCCATGAACACTTGGAACTGTCAGGCCTGGAAATTAAAGAATATTAACCAGTAAAGAAATTAACAGCACGTACTCTAGTGTATTTGCTGCACCAGAAGGGAGAACAGCACCTTCTGTAACATGCAGGTCATAATTCGAACCACAGTGACCGTGCATGCTAAGAGCAAGAGGAGCCTCCAGTTCTGGTGCTGCAGGAAATGGCATGGTTTGTGATGGGATTTGCTCTTGCAGTGCCTGGTGCTTAACGGGTGCCTCAGCACTGTCTGGCTGACTACAATATGCTGCATGTCTCACAAGAAGCGGAATCAGCACAAAGCCTCAGCTCTGCTGGTGCAGGAAAGGTATCGCACACAGTGCATTTGGAAGGGTCTTTCCATCCAGTGCATGCCAACACACTTTTGTTCTTTAACCATGCATCTAACAGGAGGCGTTAGCTGGTGGTAGGCTACCACCAGCTCATCTCTTCAGGAATGGAGAAGCATTAGTTTTATTTACAGGCATTTCTAGGTTGCTCACAGTAACTGCTGGCACCTCGCTGCATTAGCTCTCCAAAGGGCAGAGCTTTGGAGCTCAAGGAACACCACTAGTAATCAATATAATCCCTCCTCCACCTGGCACAGGATATTCCCCCAACAGGGTATTAACAAAACATTAACAGTTCCACCCTTAGATCTGTGCTGCTTTGTCCTAAGCAAGGAAATTCCATCAAGTTCCAAGGAAGTCAACAGAGTTTGGTCTGCGATAAAAACCAAAGCAGACCTTGTTTAGTCTGGCAATGCAGTAAGTGGGTTCAGCACCTAAACCCCAAGCCTTGAACCTCGGGCGCTTGGCTACTTCTGCAAGTAGTAGTAATTTGTTACCTGCAGGATGAGCTGCAAACTGCCAGTGCAGCTCCAACAGTGCGTGTCATATGGGTCACGTTTAGACAACAGCTTTACTCCAAATATTTAGGGAAATATGGACAAGGATTCCTTGCTTTTGACCACATCTACGGCTGTCAAACTGAGCTCAAACCTCTGTAATAGCAGGAGGAAATTCAAAACGTTTCACCCCCCTTCCCATCTCCCCCAGTTATTTTAACTACTGCCTTTACTGACTTCCCCATCCTGCTCCCAGCTTCCCTCTTTGCCCTGGGATACTTCCTAGCCAGAGGTACCACATCTGCATTCTGAGTTGAGCTTACCTACTGAAACACCATTTCCCTCTGTGCCCAAGTGCCAGCATTGAGAATTGACACCACTAACCTCCCAAAATATGGCTACTTAGCTTTAAATCATCAAGATGCTTCAGCAACAGAGAATCTATATAAAATTTCAACTTACGAAATACAGTACCTGCAGCCTGAGGAATTGCAAAGGCAGGAGGAAAGCCAGTTCCTGCATATGGAGAAGGAGAGATTATTCCTGGGGCACCTGGGAAAGATATACACATTATACACAACACCCAATAGCAAGAAAACCTCTAGACTTAGCTGGAATGTCTTCATTTGGCCTTCAACGCATGCATTCAGTTGAAAGCTAAACCCTAAACCAAGCAGGAACTCAAAAATGTCTCTAATTTAACACTGAGCTTCAAGACACTACAAGAACGATTCCCCCTTCCTCTAACTATGCTGTTAACAAGACTACAAGCTAATAGCTCCTGTAAGTGCCTACCCACCCCAGGTTTCCAAGTGCAGCTGACACCACCCCAAGTTCATACTGTTGCCAAAGCAGCAGATGGCACCAGAAGCCCAGATAGCTGCAAAGCCTCAACCAGTCCTCACCCCAATGAAGAACAGCTTCCAAAGCAGCAGCAAGCACCCATAGCCACAGGGGCCTACAAGTAGTTTGCACTACTCTGATCCAGTGGTTTCTATGTTTTCCTCCTCAGTCATATTTCACAATTCCGGATGACCCAATAGAATCATTGAATGGTTTGGGTTGGAAAGGAACTTAAGATCACCCAGTTCCAACCCCTGCCATGAGCAGGGACTCCTTACCCTAAGACCATGTTGCCCAAGGCTCTGTCCAACCTGGCCTTGAACACTGCCAGGGATGGAGCGTTCATCACTTCTCTGGGCACCCTTACCCTCACCACCCTTACAGTAAAGAACTTCTTCCTTACATACAACCTGAAAATACACCCAGGTTACATCCCCTCCCCTTCCCCAACTGCCACATGCATCGGTTCTGTGCCCACTGCAAGGGTTCTTACCAAAAGCAGCTGCCATGGTCTGATCAAGAGGGGGCTGGCTGTCCCCAGAAGGTAGGTCCGGTCGTGTGTAATCTCTGCTCTTATCATTATTGTATTTCACATTGAGACTTGTGAGCTTTGAGAAATCTATGCGCAGCGTGCAACAGGCATTGTAGATGTTCTGTCCATCTAAAGACTGCAAAGAAACAAACCTTTCCTTACCCAACATGCATTTACCCTGAGATCACACAGAAGGTGTTACAACATCCCAGGTACCAGGGCTCTGTTGGGACGTCTGCAGGTATCCCCCACTGTGTGGGGAAAGCACCACTTCATCCCCGAGACCCCTTCAGTGTTCTCCCATTAGCTGCACCACTCCTGCTCATGGGCAATGCTCACATAAACCCTGTGATCCCCTCGCCCCAGCACCCCAAAACACTTCTAACATTGATCCTAAACTAATAAAAGCAAACCTAAAAGTGAAAATAGCTCAGGTATTGGCACTACAAGCACACTACTCACCAGTTTGGCATGCTGAGCGCTCACTGGGTCAGCATATTGCAGCAGGGCCTGGAACTGGTGGTTCTTTGTGAATGTGATGATTTTCAAGACTGTACCAAACTTGGAGAAAATCTGTAAGAGAATATTTGCATCTCTTGTTAGCTCCTTTCCAGCGAGTTCATCTCATATTGATCTCCATGAGTAGAAGCAGAAACAACAAAACGTTATTCCTTCGCCTTGTCAGCTTTCCAACTTCAAAATGTAAGGCTTTAAACTATACTTGTACCATGGCATCCGACTAGAAAAACACCAGGGTGACCCAGCTGTCTCCTTAAAGTGTCTGTTAGGAACTTTTACACAGGAAGGTTCATATACACCTTCCCAAACTGAAGCTTTTCCAAGCATTTCAGAGCTGCTTCAACACAGTCAAGCTTGCATTTTAAACACAGAGATGAAATTAAGCAACTGCAACAGGAACTTGCCAAATAAGCTACTGCCCAACGACCTCCAGGCACAGGATTGGTTTCCCCCTACCCTTGCAGACAAACATGAGGCAGCTACTTCTGCTAAACCCCAAGCAGAACTTGAAGAGCCATCTTGAAAGCGGAACTGTTTTCAAGTAATCCAAGGAAAATGGACCAGCAGCCAAATCTCTGGACATTAAAGTCTGGCCAGACTGGAAGCAAAACCAGAGCAATCTCTGGTAGGTGTTGGGGTCTCCAGAAGACTTTTGGCAGCTGCGTTCAGAGCTTTTATCATAGAGGTAAACCCACATCCTGTTAGAACACAGACATGGCAAACACAACCCCTCCTTCCAGCACCACCTTCAAGAAGGTGTGGCGCCAGGTTTTACCTGATGCAGAACATCCAGAGCGACAGGATAGAAGAGATTCTCCACAATGATCCTCAGGACAGGGCTCTGGCCAGCCATGGCCATTCCTGCATCCACGGCTGCGGCAGCGGCCGGCAGGGCCAGGCTCCCCGGCGGCGCCAAGTTCACGGCTTGCAGAGCTGCCTGAGCACGCTGCAGAACCAGACGCTGTTAGACACACACTTGTGCTTGCACAACAGACACATGCAGCTTTCCTTGAGCTTCCTGTCTGCAGACTGCTAGAACTCAGCAGGGAGCACAATGCACAGAGCACTTTATGGCTCCTAAGGCTGGGGAAGTACTGACTTTGGCAGGTTTTGAACATGGGCAGTGCAGACCATCCCCATCAGGGAGAGCAAACTCAGTAAAATAGCTTATTAGCACTAGCATAAGTACTACTTTAAGTACTTTCTAAGGCCAGAACCTTGCTCAGCATCTACTGATGCAGCAGAATTATTCCACTGTTCAGGGAAAGCTAGGCTCTTCTGGAGTGAAACTCCATCTCCAGAATGCTACAGAAGCTGAAAGGACTGAATAAGATTAATGCCCATCTGTATTGGGACCCAAGAGCAAGAACTGGCTGGGAATTTACTCCCTGTAGAGTCCCTCTTGCTCACACAACACTGATGCTCTCTCTGTCCTGCATCAGGTGCTGCCTTTGTTAGATGCACCCAGAAGTAGCTTTTTCACCTGCACAGCACTAGATGCTCTGCTCCTGATGAAACTCAGCCTGAAAAGTGAGAGGCAGCAAAATGGGTGTACTGGGTAGCCACCCCGATAAGGAGCCACAAGTAACTTGAACTTCTTTCCAGTGCTCCTGTCCTGAAAGGCTGCCAAAAGCAGCCGAGTCAAAACAGGGAACTTCTTACCCTTTGCACAGCAGATCTTGCACATAAACTCCAGACAGCCCAGCCAAAGCCTGAGGAACTGCTGTGTTCCTGTGCTGCCTGCCTCAACACCAGTGCTTCCCAGCAACAGGCTGCACTCTGCTGCATGCTCCAGTTTTGCCCATCAGAGTTTCATTTCATATAAATCTTGAAGACATTAAGTAAGTCTTCGGATCTGTACTCGGTTACTGTTTCTACCTAAAAGATGCTAAGCCACCTTCTATCTCCTATTCACTTTGCATCTCCTTCTCTGACATGAAGCAAGATTTAGCAGCTCATTTAAGAGTGTGCTGAGACTTTGGATAAAGGCTGTTATAAGAGACTTTGCTCTTTGATTGTTAAACCAAACCTTAAAGCCCTCCCAAGCCTACACCAGCAGCACAACTCAAACCAGCTGCCAAGAAGTGTCTCTCCCTCCCACCTGTACGACAATGTAAAGAACAACAACTAACAGCTTGGTTTGAAGAGTTGTCTGTCTTCAGCTCCTTGTGGTTAGAGAACTGAATGTAGACGGGCTGGCTCCGGAGGACTGGAGTGACAGTGGTGTAGTAGTTCACCATGGTGTTGGCTGCCTCCTCCGTGTTCATTTCTATGAAAGCCTGTGCAGAAGTGAAACCCAACAGACACATCAGAGTCAGCACGAACTTGGCAACAGCATCACGCTATGGCTGCCTTTAGGAGGAACTTCCAGTTGAACTGCAACTGGATTTGATTTTCACAACTGCATTTCCATGCAGGTTTCTGTATATAGGATTAAGAATCGACTGTACGAAGATCAAGGGAGGATCTTCGCTGTCCAGAGTGATTTAATGTAATGTTTCAGCCTCATCCTAAGACCTCCATGCTATATATATTTAGGAAAGTGGCAGAAGTGTCTGCAGGAACACAAGCAGCCAGCAGTCATCCAGATTCTTAACACCTGTCATTTAAGCAACTCCCCATACTTCTCTAAGCAGCAGCAAGCCCACCCACTGCTCTGTGACTTTATAGTCTTCTACTTCAGAACAAAAGCCTAAGGGATTGTGGCAAGTCATTCCATTAAGTACTTACATATAATCACAGCAGGTGATATATCAGAGGCACATTTTCATAATTAATATTAAAGACAGAGTATTTAAAGAGATTATTAAAGCTGGCTTTGCTTTTTTACTCCTTCATTTGCAAGACAATTTTAGTTACCAAATTAGTGCACACCTTTTGCATTACCCAAGAGTGGTTTGGCTTTACCCATCTAATTCATTGTACCTGTAAAGGTGTCCCTAATATGCAAAGTTACACTGGTGGTTACTCAACTGTCAAAGCAGCTTGAGTGAAAAGAGGCCAACTCATGTCACTGCTGTCCAAATAATTTACCTGCTCTGCAATTTAGCAACCAGGCACAACACTGATTATAGGAGACAACCTGCAATTATGGACTTAGCTCCTTGCACAGCCTGAAAATAGTATTTTCTACAGCTCATGGGATAATCATGGAAAAGTCAAATAACAGCATGCAGATGTTATTGACTCCTAATACTTGACAGTTGTTTAAACAACTTGGGCCTGGTTTACAGATGACAAACTCATCAAGCCTTTGCCACAAGCCCCGCCTGCAATTACAGAGACAATACCTGATTTTTGCCTTTCAACATGAGAAGATTGGTGACCTTGCCAAAAGGTAAGCCCAAGGAGATGACCTCTGCCTCCGTGACATCACTGGGGAGCTTACGGACATGGATTACTCGGGATGGGACTCCAGCACTTCTATCACCTTTGAATTTTTTGATGTCGTTTCCATTAGCTGGGAAAACAAAGAGTTACCCAAAACTTCAGAGCTTCTCACATCCAGTCTGTGCTCCCCATCCCGTTATTGCTCTCTTACAGAGAAATTCCATACACTAATTCCACTAGAATCTGAAGACACATGGTTTTACTTCACCCCCTCACAACCCCCCCCAAATGACACGTTGCAAGTGACGTTGCTGTGTGCCACTGCAATAGAATCAAGCCTCCAGTGGCCATTTCACAGCTTGTTTACAGCACACACCCACCCCTCTAACTCTGTGTAGGGCTGAGCCTCTGATGCTACAGCACTGTTCAGATCCTTTTCACTTGGTCTGGCATCCTTAGCAATGAAGCTGTTTGAAAGGCGCATCTTCAAGCAAGTGATACTCTTAAATACGACCCAAACTGTCCTTTTGGGTCAGCTGGATTGTCCACAGGGAAAGGCTGCTGCAGCACAGCACCAGAGCTGGCCCAGTGTGGCAGGGAGGCCATGGGCAGGACATGAAGGTAGCTCCAAGACAGGCAATTCAAGGCACGGACAAGCACAGAGGGCAGAACTCTGGACTGAGCACCCATGGATACTGCCTTGGGTGGGATTCCTGACCTCTCCATAGGGTCACACTCCCAGAGAGCAGCAAACTATTCCATACAGCCCAAATAACCCTAGAAAAATTCAACTGTGCTTTAAAGTTTAGAGCAAAACCTGCATGTTCTAATTTTGTAAAAAGCATTTTAGCAACTGGTCTGCCCCAATTTTCTTCAGTCCACTAAAACTCACACAGGTATAGGGCAGAAGTTTATTATTACTATTCAGCACTGTCCTACAAAGGCCTAGGAAAACATCAAAACTAAAGAGGTTTTAAAACCCAGACCTCCTCCTAGTATCTGCAACGCTTATAAAGTGCTGTTCTTTTTTAGAGGCAACATTACCTGCAGAAGAATTGTTGTCGTTCATGATAAAGGGTCCGTTAGTAACACAAGTAGGGAAAAGCTCGTCAGCTCCCCGCTGGAAAAGAAAAGACGAAAGGTAAACTGAGAGCATTTCTACTGAGCTCTATTCAGGTCCTCCTAAAGCAGAACAATTGAGCCTAAGCTGTAGAGAAGCTGAAGTGTAAGTGAAAACATACTGAGAGTGGGCAGTGAACCTCACCTCCATAAATTAAATATAAGTAAGATCCAATTTAGTAATTGAGTAGCACTATCCAGTATCTTTCTGCTAAGCATTAGGGATCTCCAGAGCTGAAGCATCATTGAACTATCCAAAGCCACTAAATGCACTGAGATACACCAGGAGGATGGGAATGCAAGAGAACAGTCCCACGGGTGAGGAAGAGCAAACCGAACAGGCCCCCTGGCATCCACTGAGGGCACAGGAGGGTTACAAGGAGCAAAGACATCTTAAGCAAAAGACAAATTACCAGAAGCTGGCCAAAACTGTGTGTGACTATAAACTCCAGTTACCAGCAGAAGATGCAGCTACAAGAAACAGAGATGTGATCCCTTCCCTACCCCCAAGAAAGGGCAGGGCAGGAGTGTAATGTTACTGGCAAAAAGCTACTTTTCAGATTTCACAGCAGAAATGGGTCCACGTTTAACAATTTGGATTCTAGTAGAGAACACTGTCCCTGGTTTGGCATCCTGTAGCCACAATGCCCAGAACAGCAGCACCATCAAGTCTCCAAAAGCACATGTAGGTCCACAGGGACTAAACCTTCAGAATCCCATCCTCTGCTACCCTGCACCTCAGGCTTTGCTCCACATCAGCATCAACGTGGCTACTGGCAAATCCAAACCCCACAAGTAGCACAGCGTATCCCAACATCTGGATTCTGTGACTTTGCTCCCTGCAGCACTGTGGAGGGAGAAAACATCTGACAAAGCAATTCTAAACCAGACTGTTCCTACTAGGATTAGACAACAGCCCCTGGTACTGCAGAGCTTAAGAAACACGTCTGCTCCAGGTTTTTTAGGAGCTGTAGGTGTAATTCCATCTGCTCACACAAAAGTCACTCAGCCCAACTGCCTCCAAGCCACCCTACGTTAGCCTAACCCAAGCAGGAGCTACAAAAAACACTACTAAGACTACAAATCACTTCTTAGCACAATCGATGCTTATATACATAACACAGCTTAAAATCAGGATGGCCTCATTACACAGAACAACCCCAAATCCCATTGTACCCTGTGAGCAAACACAGTAATACAGATGCAACACGAAGAAGCACTTCTCTTGCAGAGAAATGCCACAGTCAAAGGCTTTCACCAGCAGAAAAAAGAACAGAGCTCATGTCTGCCTCGTTTACCCCCCCCCCCCGCCTTCCTGATGGAAACGTGCCCTGCTTCACCCTGTGGCTACCAGACACTCCATCACCCACCATGCCCTAGATGTGGCAGCACCTGCAGAAACACTATCTGTGTGACAACAGCAGCTCCCCGCTCCCTTCCCTGCACGCAGGCAGAAGTAGGTCACACAAGAGCCCCAGCTCACTGCAGAGCAGACACAGCACTTGTGCTTTCAAACCCTGTGTTTCTCGTTTGACTACTCACTGCTGGCTCTTCAAACGACAGGCTCAAGGACTTTGATCTCTTGAATCCAAGGAATTAGGGCCAGGTTCCAGCCCCGTGGTTCGTGCGCTGCTGGTGGTCACCTGCAGCACTGACCAGTTCTACCAAGGCTGTGGGCACCAGGGAGGTCATTCCCTCCTGACATGGTGCAGGAATTGGGAATGGGCCTTTTTACAGCTCTTCTAATTAGCACTTGGATTCCCCCAAGCTACTCTGGGAGGCTATTCCCTGTGATCCCAGTTTTTTGATGACTCAAGTTCATGCATAAAAAATCCCCAGCACTTTACTGTAAAACCACTCTTGTGCCTGAGCTCCTGCAGCCACTCTGGGCATGGCTTTACTCTGGGGCCTGGGATACAACTGGCAGCTATTTACAAGCACCAGCCAGCAGCAGACAAAAGCCCTCCCAATGCAGACAAGTGTTTACTGGCCTCATGAAACCCCTCACATGAGGCCTTAATGGGCCCTGAACTGTAGAAAAAGGGGTTCCTGAATAGCAGCTTGTACATTGGTGAGCACGGAGAACTCCAGCACTCCCAGCAGGAAACAATGCATCTGTGCAGGGGCAGCCCCTGCAATCCACCACGACAACACCAGGAGAACAAGCCACATATTTGGCTCTCATGGAGGCAACACCAGGAAACTATAAACTGGGAAAACAAACATTTATACTATTATGGAAAGAATTTCAGTTCCCTGAATTTCACTTTCCTGATGACCTGTTCAATAACAACATTTTCTCGCATACTGCAATCTTTACCTGCAGGGCACACGGACAAAGAATGCTTCTGGCTGCTGGGTTCCACATGTTCATGTTGCTTTAATGAAAGAGCCATTTCAATCCACTCCCCTCTTATCTTGGAGACAGTCTCCGCTGCCTACTACACCCAGAGCCAGGAGGCAGAGGGGGACGATTGTTCCACATCAAAAGCAGCAGCAGGCAATTTGTAAGCTTCCCAGCTGGAAGTACGTGCAAGTGAAGAGGGAAGGCTACAGCAGTTGGAAAACTACTATTATTCCAAGGGCTCTTCTCTACACAAGGAAGTTCACAGGCAGTACATGCAGAACTCTGTACAGTTATACCCACACTCTTCCACACAAGCTTCCTTTGAAGATATCACTTTTCTAGGGCAGCTTTACCACGCGCTGAGGAGTTACACCAAGGAGTAACACTGAGCACACGGTGCTGCCAAACCTCCTCCAGCCACAGGATGCTGCATCAAGGACGACTCTTCAGCGGTGTTTGTTCCTCCTCTGCTGCTCTTGGAGCTTATCTCAGATAACCCCGAGAAATCTCTAGGGAGGACCCAAAACCCACCTGGTCCTTGGAAAAGGTTTAGAAGAGTTTTTCCACCACCACCACATCCATTGGGTGTCCTGACTGACACTGGGAAAGCCAAGCCAAAAGTGACTGATTCGGAGGTACTGTTTTATTCAGGTTTAAAACCACACAAACAGCAAGGAAACGGCTGTGTGGGTGCTCAGCAGCTCGCCAGCACCAACCCACACCTCCACCCCTCTACCTCCTTCAGCTGTGACTACCATGGGGAGACCCAACCGTGCAGCAACAACTCAAGACAGCTCTTCAGATCCTCAAGTCCCCATCCCTGCTCACAAGAGGCACGGATTCCTGTTGACATTCACAGCGTGCTCACAGCAATGGCAGCCTTCACTTGAAGAAACAGATCTCCTCTTCCTCGTCATAGAAAACAACCCCCACTCTGCAGCTCCTCCCCAGGCTGCTCCACCACAGTATTACCAGGTAGAACCTGGCCCGGGAGCGTTTCTATGACAGCAGCCTTCTTTGTTTGCACTCCTGGCTATGAAAGCTCGACTGCTCGAGCTGCGTTCATTTAGTCCCAACACCCCTGCTCTGGGTTTGCCATCAACGATTTAGTTCCCTTTTCTGAGTTAAAGACAAGGTAGATTTTTCAAATAGTTCCTATTTTTCTGAGTTAACTTTGAGGAACTTTGATCTTTTTGCTGTAGTTTTAACCAGGCTTTCCCAGCTTAAAAAGCAACTCTCAATTGTCCTATTGCTGCTAGGATTTTACCTGAACCTCGTCACTGTTTGGAGTGAAGCCACAGATTGTCACAACTTCTGCCAGCATACCTATATGTGCTACAGCTGCCCCATGTAATCCTTGATCAGAGAAAGGAAGATGGCAATAGCCAAACCCAGGTGCTGCAGGAAACTCCTGGCTCATGAGGAACCCTGCAAAGAGCAGCAGCACTCCCAGTCCTGACTGCAGAGCTGCTCTAGCGATGAGCCATTGCAGTATACCTCCTTTTGGTGCAGAACAAGGTAGATGTAGGTGGTGTACAGGCCATCACCTAAAAGGTGCTTCCAGGAAGTAAGGCACCTTGAAAATCCCCCCTCTAGGAAGAAACCAGTAAAAATCTGGACTGTTGGAAGTCCTTGGTTTGCTTAAGTTTGGATAAAACCCCTGTCTCAAGTCTCATGGCAGAGCACACCAGCATCCTTCTTCCACTTCATTTTGCCCCAAGTTTGTAGGATGATTTTAGAGCCAGTAAAAGGCCACCAAAATATTCTGCACAAACGACATAGGGATCATGGGGAAGCTCACACCGACCCTTTGCTTTGATGAAAGAAGCAAAAACCATCGTGTCTTTGAGCTCAGAAAGAATGGAGTGCTGCTGAGGTATGCTCAGAGGGCTCGCATGAGCTCAGCCCCAAAGGAATGTGCTCCATGCTGCAGTGCTCAGCTCCAGTTGGTTCGCAAAGGAACTAAGAAGAGAAATCCAGGCTGGTGACATCATCATTCACACTCCAGCTTTTCTTGCTGAGAGATTCAAGAGCTAGGAAGGAAATTAACCTTAAACTACTCGAAGGATGCCAGCTTTCCTTGTCGTCCCCACAAGACTGGTTTCCAGCAAGGCTCCCTCGTGTTACCCCCGTCCCATCTCCTGCTGCCAACACTCTTGAGTAACGTAAAGGTAAAGCAGTGTGAAGAACATTGCCATTTGGGTCACAAACAGCACACCAACTGCATCCTCCTTTGGCCCCAGTAAAGCTGGAAATGTCTGATCAACACAAGGGAGCTTCAAGACCCTGCGGACAGCAGGCCTGGGCCAAATGAGCCACTGCAGGATGCTGCTGTCCATCTTCAGTGTCACATAACCTCTTGCTGCCAAACAGCTTGCACAACCTGATTTGAACCTACAGTTTTTTGGGGGGGTGGAGGGAGAAATACCAATTTCATTCATCAAATAGCCTGTGGCTGATTTTTATGTACCAATTCAAATAGAGCAACTCCTGCAGCATTTGTCAGATTAAATCTAGCCCTGTAGCTGGTATATTCCATCCATGGAGGAGTCAGAGGCATCAGCCTGTCTGGCAGGCCTTGAGTAGGTCCTTTTTTAACTACACTTTTTAGCTGGGGCCAAGCAATGTCACCTACCACTTACAGCCTCTGAAGTTGTTCTAACCTCGCTCTTGCCTGCACAAGATTGAGTCCGATACCTTTCCCAAAGAGCCAGCATGGCAGACTTCCCACCGAGATTCCAACAGCATACTTGGCTACACACACACACACCTTTGAAACCAGGTCAGTCGGTCAGAGCACTGCAAAGAATTCGGTGCTTAGGAAAAGTGTCCTACCAGGTGTACTGCCACAATAGCTGGTACCATTTCTAGTGTACACAGGTGGGGCTGTGAGTGCAGACACTGGAAGCTCAGGCACTACATGAGAGCAGTTGCTCACACAGCCCAGCATGAGGTTGTGCAATAAGGTGCACTACCAGCTCCTCAACCCACTCACCCCAGCAGCCCCTCCCTGACTTTCTTTCTCAGTCTTTGCTACTATGGAGACACCCTGTAAAACAAACCTGCCCTTTGAGCAAACAAAAGGTGTGGCCATTTCAAAGAGCCCCAAATTCCTGAGCTCCAAGGGCTGCAGCAATGCAGTCAGGCTGGCTTTGCAGGGCAATCCACACCCAGGCTTTATGAGGTTCTGCTCCCAAGCTGAAACTTAACTGCTCCTCAACCTTGAGCTTTTACATCCTGCAGCTGAGCAGACAGGTCCTTGGTGAAGCACAGGACAAACACTATCACAAAGAAATGCCACGGGGTGAGTCATGCTGGGAAAATGGAACCTGCGAAAGAACATTTTGTGTCCAAATCTGGAGCAGAGCAAACTGAACATGCAGGTTTAGAAGAAACTACTAATTCAATCTCGTCTAAATTGCAGTTGTGTAATAATGGCACCTGCTGTGGCAACCATGGAGCCTTCATTGCACTGGGATTACCAGCACACACTTGCTGAACTAAGCAGAGTATTCAATGAGTTCTCATATGAAGCTACACCAGAATTACATAGGATTGGAACTGAAATCATGCTTACTCTCCCTGCTGGTGTAAGGTGGCAGCAAATGTGGCACTGGCACTACTTGAAACCAGTGGCAGTGACTCAGGGCCCAGACTCTGTCCCATGCTTATGGGATTAAAGATAAAGTTGAATAAATTCACGTGTGTTCAGAATTTTGCTATTTGTTTGAATCATCACAGATTGAGGGCAAAGGAGGCCTGAGGTTAAACCAAAATACTTTCTACAACCATTTCATTAACTGATTGTTTTCTACAGTCTCACATAGATTTCTTTTCACCTACAGGGAGTCCCAGCTCCTTTCCAAGTGCAAGGGACTTGAGGTGGCTCCCACATGAAAACCTGGGTTACATGTGATGGAGAAACTGCTTTGCACAGCTCAAAGAGCTGCTAAGCCTGTGGCAGTGATCTCACCTCACCCAGCAGCTTCAGCTCCTGGTAACACAGATGTAGCCAGCTTTCAGAACCCATCACAGGACAGGTACCTGTACATTACAGGTGCATCAAACCCTACACAATGGGAACACGGATCACATGAAGCTCTTTATCAAACCTGCCTGACGTGGCATTGCCAAAGGACACCATCATCCATGCTCCCTGCTATCAACATGTGGCTTACACGTGTGATCACGCCTGTTACAGCAGCCACAAGAGCCAGCTTGTTGCAGCCTCGAAGCAAAGCCATAGGAGGGGACTGGAATTTCCTCGCAACATTCTTGGCCTGCTGCCTGAAGCCATAATTACTGTTCCCATGGCAAAGATCCTGGCTTGATCACAAATGACTTCTATGCAGCCAGCCCGTACCACACTCCAGCAAGCCCTGCTTTAAAAATTAACTTCTCAAATGCCACCAAAGTGGTTGCTCTTTGCTTCTGGAAGCATCAGCTTTCAGGAAAAAAAAAAAAAAAGAATGTTCAACTTAACCAAGAAACTACAAAATTACTCTGAGACTTTTCCAATCATTGAAACAGCTTCACTTAATAATGATGTACCATAGTTCATACTCCTTCTAGTAACCAGTGCTGTTTGGAGACCGTTAGAGCCTGAGGAGGTAGTGGTATCCTGGCAAAAGAAAGACAGGGAAAGGAGATCCAGAGGAATCTTGATCAAATTACTGAGAAGAGGCAACTGCACGGTGAGACACACTACCCTGGAGTTCAAATACAGTGCCTCCATCTTAAGGTCATACTTCCTCTTCAGTCAGCAATGACATTATGGGAAGAAACAAGTCCTAACTCGTGGGTTTCTAATGTGTAGAACATTCCAGAAGGCTGTGCATTAAGAGCCCCACACCAGCATTGTAATGAGCTTCCTAAACTAATTCACACACTTGAAACTGAGGAGGAGCCTGTGGACTAGGCTAAACGTGAAGCCCAAGAACAATGACCATCCTGGTTCAGAACCAGAGCACCAGGCAGTGCAGTGCTGAGCAGCTAGCCCGAGAACATCTGGGGACTTCTTAAGGTAAGGTTTGTTCAGCATCACAGGCACTTTTCCTACCTGTCTGAGAATGCTCCAACTTTGGGATATTCCTTTATGAAGCCAGAGATGACAAAACTACAGCTCCAGAGCATTACATTTTCAGGCAGTTCTAAAGCTTGTGAAGGTGAGGCAGCAGTTAATCCTTGAAGCGATGTCAGTGATGCCCCAGGGAGCAAGCAAATGCTGGTGGATGGACAGAGCTCCATCGCTGTAGTTATGTTGGCAAAGACAAGGCGAAATGCTTCTGTGGCATCATGGAAACCTTCTTCTGCATTGCCTTCAAACTACTTCTTGGCAAACCCAAGTGAGGCAGGTTGAAGGAGAAGCACCACAAAAGCAACAACAACGTTTCAGGAGCTGTAGCCAATGAGGTTTTACACTTACCACAGAGGTAACTATTTTTAAGAAGTGACTGACACAGCTCTTGCAGAGATGCCTGTAGCTCTCTGTGCACAAGCCCTGCAGGCAGGGGATCTCCAGTGATACAGGAGCGTGGGGAAGCTGTAAGGGAAGCCTTCCCTTTGCTCCTATAGCTGTGCACAAAAAGGGTTCTGACTTAACTGAGCAAATCTATGACATGTAAAACACCCCAACATTAAAGAGCGTTCTGCCGCATGAGCTACATGGTTTATTCAATGACTTATTCCAACATCATCAGGTAACATAGCAATGTCAAAAATCATTTTAAAACTTACCTTTATCCCAATGATTCAACTTTCCTTCTGCTTCTGCCACTCTTAGTTTTGATTCAACTTTCTCAAGACTCACCTTGTCTGACTGCACAAAACCCTCAGTTTTGATGCCCACTTTGGTCCCACCACTGGCCACCCCCATGGTACAACTGCCATGACTGTGGTTACAGCTCTGGCTGTGTGAGGAGCAGAAGCCCTTGGATGCAATTGCTCCCAGTCCTCAGTTTAGACACTGTATGCACTACGGACTGCAATCACCCCACAGATGGGAGTGATGAGCTGCACAATCCCACATCCGGAAGCTTGAAGATTCACCAAGAAGACAATTACAGCTTCAGAAGCTTCCTGGTGAAGTTGAGTTGTGTAAAACCACTTCTTAAAGCTGCAGAAACCTAAAGCTACAAATTACCCAGTTAAAACCAACTGAGTGGACTCTTACCTAGATTAATCAGTTTACTAGAAGATCAAACTGCTCTGCAGGTCAAGGGATGGCTTACTCCACCTTTTACAATAGCTCTTAAGTATTAATCAACCTCATTGCCCAGGCTGGAGCCTTCCCTCCTCCGATGTCAAACTGAGCTCCTCACAGCAGAACCAGACACTATCATGGCACTACAATTAACTCCAGTTTCAGATTCCCATACGAGGGAAAGTGAGAATAACCTCCCTCTATAGCTATTAAACCAAGCCCCCTTCATGCATTTGATGCCCCTCAAACCCTGAAGCACTAAACCATGCTTATGGTTAACAGCAGTGCACTTCCAGCACAAAAACCTATTTGCAGTTTAGGAGCAAGCTCTCTCTAATGCTCCTTCTTCACTCATGTAGACCTAACAGAGCTCACCTCTACTTCAGCCACCTCACCAGCCTATTTCAAGTCACCACACTGCTCAGTTCATAATGGAGATGCTGATGCTACCGCCACACAAGTCGGGCCATTAAAGAAGCCAAAGGCCAACATTCACACATACTATCTAACAAAAGGAACTCAAGGGCTGAATTTACTGTAATCCTGATCCCAGAGCATTAGCTCCAATGGTCAGGAAGGAACAAGAAACCCCTTTAATGCAGGAAGGAGTGCCAGTCTATCCCACACATTCCAGTTGACCATTTCACAGGCCCCAGCTTTTATCCTGGAACACAACAGCCTGTTACTAAGCACTGCAGATAAGGAGGCTCCTGTCAGCACTTTGAGTTTCAGGGCTAAGTCTGCACTTTCAAAACCTGAGACTAGAAGGATGAAGGTCATATTTACTGTACTCACAAGAGATAAAACCCAACAGCTAAACACGGGGGGGGGGGGGGGGAAGGGGGGGGCAGAAGGATTTTTGACATACAACTGAACAGGAATTCACATAAAGGAAATCAAGTTCTCAAAAGGCCAAATTTCTCCACTGAGAAGCAATGCCTAGCACCCAAATAACAAGCATGGCTTGTGACATTTAGAAGGGGAAAGGGCTGTTTCTAAATGCAATAAAGTTCTTTTCTGACAGTTGATAATCAATGTCCAAATGCCAAGAGCTAAATGCTGAGCCATAATAAAAGTTTTCAATGCACATGAAACTAAATTACCTTCTGGTTGCAGCCAATTTACATGGGACCAGAAATAACCCCTTAAAGCTGAAGATCTACATTTGGTGAGGCTAAAACAAGGTCAGATGCTGAGCAGTGTAAAAAGAGAGAAAAAGTGAGAAGTGCCTACCTTTGTACCAACTGTTAAATCTTGGACAATGCTGTAGAAAAAAGAAAGAAAAGGATTAAAAAAGTTAGATAGGTTTGCCACAAATATCCAGCATAGTTTACAGCAGTAAGAAAAAAAAGCAAGTCAAAAGTGCACAGTTGTCTTTGCAAGTGAGCCAAGGACAGTTTACACAAAGGAAAATTATTAGATGGTGATGGTGGAGACCCAAGACCCAGCAGTGCTAGAAACCCACAGCTCTTCCCCTCCCTAGCATGGGGCTTGCTCCTTGTGCAAGGGGTCACAGGGGCTAAGAGCAAACTCCGCAGGTACCTCACTTCCAACACCACCTCTGACCAAGCAAGTCAACTCCATCCAGAGTATTCACTTCTACAATTCTTAACCCCCTGGTTTGGAAAGGGGAAACCTCTAAGGAGGCTCTGGAGCAAAATCCTTGCGTTGGTAGCAAGACTAAAGGGGTGCAGGAGAGACGTGGGCAGCTCCCAGGCTGGGGTTTGCCTGCACTGTACACAACATTCCTCTATCAATTCCTTTCTACTCAGAAAAACAAACAGTATTTTCCCTAACACAGATCTCAAGGGAAAAAAAAAACCAAACCCAAGCAGTTATTCAACTCTACCATAAGCACTTAAACCTCCTACAATGAGACTTCCTGATTAACTAACATGATAAACAGCACAGTTGTACCTCAGGCACCTCACACCAGCAAGCACACACATGGACCTAGAGCAGCTTCTTTCCCAATGGCATCAGAGTGCCTTGTCTACAGCTTGCTGTGCGGTACCTGGGTTATGTCCCAGAGTATTCCAGCACCTACACGTTACTCCTTGTTACAAGAGTGCTCCAGGATTCCAGTTTTACCCTTGCACTGAAGACCATGGATATACGTTTTTAACAAACTCCAAACCACTGTAAAGCAGCAACACAAAACAGAGCAGAAACGACCATTTCAGACTGACATATATGCAGCACTGCCTGGCTCAGCGCAGTAACTGCAGAAACAGCCTGGTTCAACTCCTGCCTTCCCAAAAGCTGACCGTGACTTCAGAGTACAGGATCCAGGAGCAGTTAACAGACCTGTAGCAACCCTAAAGGACCATGGCAGAGCAGCAGCAGGCAGGGCAGCCCTTCCTAAACCAGCAACGTGAAAGCCTGAAGTACTTCAGAACAAGCCTACAAAGGGATTTAAGGCAGAGAGAACTCGCATTTCCTGGTCCTTCCTGCCCTACCCGCCCCGCACCAACTTCTCAGGCCATTAAATACTGCTCCGTGTTGAGTCACTCCCATCTCCCCAAACACGCCATCACCCCAGGCCAGGCCAGCTCAGCTCCTCGGACTTCCTCCTCCAACCCAACCTGCCATGTCATCATAACCCAGCACTTTAGAGCCGGAGCTGTGGCCACGAAGCCACGCGATAGTTTCTTTTCCCTTTTTTTCCTCCCCCCCCGCCCAACCACTCCAAGCCAACTCCTTCAAGACGGCTCCGTGCGAGGAGAGCGCCGGGATCCATGGAGCACAGATGGGGTTTGGTGCACTGGGAGGGCCAGCAGGAATGAACTAATCAAACCCATCTGCAGAGAGCACTTTAAAGCATCATGTTATACCAACGAGAATGACTCCGAGTACATGTTCATCAGTGAAAACGCACACATTCACCCAGCGAGTTTCACAGCCTTAGGAAAGCAGCAGTATTTCCAGCACAGCAGAAGAGCAACAGGGTTGCTCCCGAGTTTCCCAAACTCTCCAACTTACCCCCGAGCAGTTTCTCTCACTTCCTGTTCCTCCTGTGGGCCTCTCACACAGGAAATGTTTTACATAAAAGTACTCTTAACAGGGGACAGCGTTTCCAACTCGCCAGCAGGAAGAGCTGGTTGATTTGCCAAGAATTATCAATTCCTGGAATACTGGAATATCGTGGAAGCCCATTTGATAACAAATGACCACATGGAACAAGCAGCAACAGTATGGAAGAAGTTTGACTCCAGAAATGTGCAACGTACTTCCCATTCAACCCCACCCCAATAAATTATTACATCTTAAGCTTCTCTTGTCTCCTCTATCAACCTTAAGCAGGGGATTAAAGGCTTTTTCAGTTCCAAAAGAACTGGCAATAAAGCCCCTATCCGAAAGAGGTATTTTTGCATTGAATTCCTACACAACGAGGGGAAAAACAATCCAGCAGCACCAAGAAAACCTCGAGGTCATTTTCCAAAGCAGCGTTTTTCCTCTGTTAACTCCTTGTGTGTTTTACCAAAGCAGTTTACTCAGGCGGGCTCAACTGAAAAGCACAGTATTGGTTTGAGGAGGAAGCGATGGAAGCAACCAGGGGACAGGGAGGGAGGCAAAGACCTAAAACCACCCTCAGAAGCAGCTTTTGGAAGTTCAACAGCCTCCACGGGGAAACCCGATCCAAGATAACGGGGTGGTTAAGGCTCAGACGATACTAAACCGTCTCCATTCAAAAACCAACTGCTTTAACACGCACAGTAAACCAGCCTGCCTCAGAACTACGGTGAAGCCAGCTGGTAACCAACCGGGTTTGCCATTAGAACGCCTGATCTGACATGCTGGAGGCTTTATTTTTGATGCCCAACGTGGTGAGCAACTCGTTAAAAGCAGCAGGGCATCCCCTGGAGTGTGAAATCTGCAAGAGACACAGCTTTTATGGGCCTTTGAGATGGAAAAACCACTTTGAGATGGAGACGCCACTTTTTCAACGCGTAAGGGAAAAAAAACGCAGCCATGTGACTGCGCCTGATTCTCACCACCCCAGTGTTCGGAGGCAAAAAGCGAGAAGGCACTCATTTGGGCTTCCTGTGCTTAAGGCTCTGTGAAAACAAACCGCTTACTCGGGGTGGGGAGTCAGAAGGACTTTAATCGCAAGAATCAGCTCGCTAAAACTACAGATAACGAAGAAAATGGAGCCCTCGTTTGGGACGGAGTTGCCATCAGTTTACTTGCGAGACACCCGGCGAGGTGGTGGTGAAAGGGTGGAAGAGCCGCGCTCTGTTGGAGCGGCAGGAGCCCAGCAGGCACAGGCTGGGTCTTCAGGCGCCGGGGCAGCGGGAGCGCAGGTCTGGGCTCGCCCCGCGCTGCCAGGTATGGCCGCGGTGGAGGCTCCTCCCGGCACCGCTCGCCAACAGCTAACCCAGACAAAAGGACCGAGGCCCCCGTCAGGTGCGACCGCTCCCGGATCCCACCCGCGGGGCCGCCACGGAGGCAGCCGCCGGGCCCGGCCCCGCCGCAGCCTCATACCCACAGCGGGCTGCAACCCCGGCCGGGACCCCCCCGCCTCCCTCCGCCGAGACGCGGACACGAGGCGGAGGCTGGAAGGGGGGAGGAAGCAGCGCACGAGGCGGCGCGGATCGGGACCACCCCGGCTCCCAGCACCCACGAAGGGCTCCGGGAGAGCCGCGTCCCGTCCCGTCGGGCGCCGCCACCGCGTTCTCCCCGTCCCGCCCCGGCCGCACCCTCGGCGGCCCCCCCCCACCCTTCGCCTCAGGGGCGCCCCAGCCCCCGGCGTGGGGCCCGCACTTTCCCCCCCCCTCCTCCGCACCCCGGCTGGGTTCCGGCAGCGCCGCTCGCCGCCCGCGGTGCGGTGCGGGCCGGGCCGAGGCCCGGCGCGGCGGGGACTCACCCGTCCATTGCACACGCAGGAGACCCGTCGGGAACGGGGCGGAGGCGCCGGAATAGCAGGAACGAGCCCGACCGCTCCGTGTTATAGACTCACAAAATGGCGGCGGCGCCCGGCCCGCCTCACCCGCGCCAGCGCCCCATTGGCTACCGCCGGTGTCATCTTGATAGCAGGGGCGGGGAGCGCCCGCCTCCCACGGTTGGCGCGCTGGCGCCGTTTGCGAAGCCTATTGGCCGCGGGCGGGACGAGGGGCGGGGCTAAGCGCCGGTGCGCGGCGCCATTCGGTGGGCGGCTGGGAGGAGCCATCTTGAGAGCGGGAAGGAGGCCGAGACGCCACACGGAGCCGCCATCTTGATTGGGGGCAGGGCATGGGGGAGAATGCGTTGGGCGCCATCTTGAGTACGGGCAGCTCCTGTGTTGCGGCCGGGGGAGCGGCGCCAACGCCGCCATGTTGGCCGCGGGCAGGACGCGGCGCGCTGGCGGCGGTTGCCATCTCGGGTGAGGGAGCGCGGCCGCCTCGCAGCAGTGAGGTGAATGATTGAGCACTGCCCGTCTGGTGCTCAGCAGCACTTAACAGTTTCACTTGACATACAAGGTAAAGTGGTTTAATTGCAGTTCATGTCTTAAGGATAAAGATTACCCGGTGGGGAGACAGCCCATAAGGTAAGGCACAACACCTACCTGCTCTGCTGAGGTACGAGGAAAGTATTTTGTCCTAAGTTACAGTTCCGACGCTGTCTGCTGGCCAAAGCAGCTCTTCTTCCAGTCAGGTGAACCTCAGTGGTTAAGTAGATCAGCTTGTTTCACTCTTAATATGTGGCATTACCTGTAGGGCTTAACTCGTGCAGAGCTTCTGGTAAAATCCATGGATTTCTGGTCTTTGGGCATTTTCAGACCTCTAGAAGGTTTGCTCTTCAGGTGCCGGGCCATCTCTGGTAAAGTGAAGCACACTACAATGGACTTAAAGGGGTTACATCTTCAAAATGATCCTGGAGCTCACTGAGGCGAAGGCCCCCCAAAACAGAAGGGAGAAGCAGACCCCAGCCCGGTCCTCATTGAGAACGGGGCTGTTTCACCTTGTTCCTCTGCAGGAACAGGCACGGGAGGAGCTGGGTCCTGCTGGAGGCTGAGCAGACCTCAGGAGCAGCGCCCCAAGGCCATGGCTGGTTCCTCTCCATGGACGCTAATGAAATGCTGCGTGTCTCTGTTTAAACATAGACAATATTTGCTCACTGGGAATTCTCCTCTTCTTTGCCTCGCTTGTCATAACCCTCTTTGCTGAGTGCAGCACAAGAATTAATTGTCCCGGCCCTCGTCCCTTGTGGAGCATTGAGTCAAATATCAAATGTCCAGCCCACAATGACCTCGCTTCGTTAGCTGCAGCCCTCTTTTGGGAGTTTCCAGGCAACATAACACAGGTCAGGTCTTCACTGCAGGAAGGAGCCTTCATCCCTCAGCAGGCCCCCCCACTCCTGACACTCCTTGTACAACTCTGCCAGGCAGTGCCCAGCAGCAGTAAAGCACTAACACAAATCAGTGCCACTGCTGGAAGCACCTGAGATGCAACACAGCAGGTCAGGGACAGATAGAAAAGTTCAGAGGAGGATTTGAAAGCCAGGGTGCGCATGAAATGGGGAGTCTTATCCTTGGGCAGTGTTTCTGCTTCGCAGAAGGTAGCTTTGACAGGCCCAGACATGCATTTTATAGTCTCCTTTCTTTCTGAAGCATACACTAGGCACATGAGTATGGAGAAAAAAGTGATAAAAGTGAAACCATCTATTATTTTCTCCCAAGCACGTATTACTGTGCTGCTTCCTATGGCACCTTGGTTTCTCAGAGAGCGGAGCAATGCTCAGATGGCCAGGAGCAGACAGCAGCTCACTACCATTGACGTTGGTAGCTCTCATTTTCCTGTCTTTGGTTTATTGGGCTCCCCAGCTTGTTCCAGCAGTGAAGTTTAAACTAGAGAAAAATAGGTTCTTACCTCTTGCTCCAGCTGACCGAAGGCCCCAGCTGAAACCAAACTTACTGTGCTGGGTATCGCATATGAAAGGCCACAGGTAAGAAATTTACAACTCAGATGAGGCAAAGAATGGGAAAACAATGGGATTATGCGATCCACTTTGGAGCTGCTGAGCTGAGAGCCAGCGAGATAAAGTGATTTAGGCAGAGCAGAGCAGGAATTTAAGGCCCAGCTCACAAGCCACAAGGCACCTTCTTGAACTCTGCCTGGTTTCAAGCTGTTTCCTATGGAGGTGTTGCACTTCATCTTCCCAATAACCTGCTTTATGTACTGTAAGTAAGAAACTCCTCTGGAGCAGAGGATGGTATGGAGACAGAATCACCCCCTTTAATATGGGATACCTCAGTCCACTTGTAAAGAAGTGTTCCCTAAAGAAAGGTACCCTGAACATGACACAAAGGTTTTAGAAAACTATCCTTAATGCTAGATACTGATCACTAGTTGTTCTTGACATTAGTTCATTGCATGCACCAGCTGCTTGCCTGGCATCTTTGGAAAAGCAAACAGAGGTGGATGCCATCAAAGAATTCCTGCTTTTCCAAGACCTCTCCTGTGCAGCTGTGGCTTTGCTTAAAAGACTCCTTTCAAGGTTCTTGCACGCTCACTCCCCTTTGCCTTAGTTGTAGCAGGAATGCTGATTGTGCAACATTTCATCGGCCATTTTGCCTGTATCTCTTTTGGGTTGATACGAGAAAGAAATCCCAGTAAAAAGGCCATGAGAAAGAAACCAAAAGGAGGGGAAAAGGGAGAAAACAGAAATCAGGATCTTTAGTAGGACCCAGCAAAATAGTCCCACCCTCCGGCTCCGGTTACTCACATGCTCCAAAGGCCTTAGTGGGGCACACCCAGGTTTGTCTCTTTTAAGCCCTTCCTGTTATCTCTTTGAATTTCATTTACCGTGCAGGGAAAACCAACAAAATGCTGAAACAAGAAAGACCCTGTTCCTGCCTTTTTTCCTTTGTGGGTTTAAAATAGCTCCATGTTCGCAGGACACTTTAGGGAACAACGTTCATTTGCAAACTAGCAAAGGGGTTTCCCCCCCTTTTCCCCCATGTTCCTACATGTAACCTGAAAACAAGAGGTGGAAAACTATCACTGGAGAGTTGGCTGCAGTTCTAGTGCTCAGGAAAACGTTCCTTCCTTACCTGCAGCCGTGTGATACTACAGCAGCACAGCACACATTGCTAGCAGGGGGAGGATTCTTCCCATGCTTCATATGCTTAGTACTGATAGAAGGAACTGTTTCTGCCTCATTCCCAACGCAGGATTTTCATTACAGCCATGGCCACCGCAGCACTTTGAGACCCCTTTCCAGGGACAAGGTTGAAAAATGCTTGACAAGCACATAGATCTGCACTTGGAACTTCTCTTAGTGTCCCACTGCACATTGCAATTTCACCTTTCAACAGCACTGCCAGCCTATTCCTACAGCATTTCCTGTGTTGCAAGCACTTTGAGCAGTTTCACACGTTAAGGATAACCACAAGAGCTCCCATTTTACGTTTCTCTCCTTTCTGTGGCAGGACGAGGGACTTGCTGCATTCAGATTCTGTTGTTATCAGTCCCTGTTGTTTCAGAACTTCCCCGTCTCGGACGATGCTTTCGGGTGACTCATTTCCTGTGAGGGATGAACCAGCCATTTCCTGGCTCTTCAACACGGGATGGGGGGGGGGGGGGGGGGGGGGGAGTTCTTCTCGCTTCAGTTGGAGTCGTCTGGATTCATCTCTGGTTTGATTGTACCCCCTGCAACTTGCACCACAACTGCAGCTCTTCACTGCAGCCTTCCAACGTCAGCTTCTGTTGCATGGGGATGGTGGCTGGCCCCTGCTTACCTGAGCCACAGGTCATTTTGGGCTGTAGAATTAGAGTCATTACAGCAATACGGTTTGAACAATGACATCCTTCCAGCCCTTCCAGCCCAATGCTTCTCTTAATTCAAGCCCTGTCAGCTCATAATAAATGGAATGTTTAAAAAGCACCACAGGGCAAAGATATTGATCTTGTATCTTAAGCCCAGAAATGGTGAGTTCTACCAAGATCACATGTTGAGAAATCCAGGTGGGGTTTTTCTGTGTTAGGCACAGGATCCTGGGAGGCTGGGTCAGCTTCTGTAGGGATTCTGTGCCCAGAGTTCCAGCTCTTCCCTCCAGCCTGTATTTCCAACTTCCCAAGCTGCTATTTATTCCTGTTTCCCATGATGATTCTATTGTGGATGGCTTACTTTAACACTACCACTGAGCTGAATGCTTGGCCGCTGTAACACCAGCCTGAGGTATCCCAACTCTCTCAAGCAGCTTTTTACTGCTGTTTTTAAACATTATTCTTTTAATCTTATTTCCCATCATTTCAGTTGAATCTTTCAATTCCTTAACCTGTCACACATCCATAATATTCGGAAAGAAAAGCCCCACACCAGGGCTGCTGCCTCTTGAGTCTGAATTTAGCACACGTTAGAGGGATCAGCACTGAATAATTCATACCCTTGATGATTTATTCATGCCCAAAAGCTGGATACCTCCTCTGTGAGTTTCCATTAGCTCACAGAGGATACGAGTTCCTCTCCTCACCTCCACAGCAGCCCTGTCCCATGGAGCCCAGAGCAGGGGAGCATTGGAAAACACTCCCAGATGGGCCTTCGGAGATGCTTCCGCTCAACAGCAAACAGGCCCCTTGTGCCACTCCACACACATTAAGCTCTTTTCCACCAGTACACATGTAAAGAGGGGTGCTGCAGGATGCCCTGAGCCTGGAAACCAGACAAACAGGCCGTGACTTCATGAGGTGATACAGTAGAGCTGATCTCCTCCACCACCAGAAATGACAGGTTTATTTTACATGGTAAAGTCACAGGTTTGGAGACAGTACAAACATAGGGAGATAGTTTCCTACCCCTCAGGAAACCTGGACAAATAGCAGCAGTTCAGACTAATCTCCTTCCTGTGTGGGCTGTCCAAAGATATGCCTGTAGTACAAGTTGGGAAGCCCACGATGTGAGTTTCCTGACCTAGGTGAAGATTCTGCAAGCCATTCAAATTCCATCTGTCTAGAAAGTATGAAGGATGGTTCCATGTTCCAGGGTAGTCTCCAGACCCACAAACAGCACCACCCCTCCCTGGCTGCTATGAAATTTCCTAATTGTTTATCCTGTGCTCCTGACTCCTTTTGTCCTTGGACCAGGCTCTACATCAGCATAATTAAAAATGCCAAACACGCTTGAGAAACTCTCCAAGTTGCTAAAAATGACTGTGAGTTTCCTCCCCACCGCCCCGCTGCAGCCCTCCCTTGCTCTGGCCTCAGCTTTACAAAGTGGTCTGTTTCCAGCCCTTCAGCATAGTTTGCATTCCACTGCCAAGAATGAACATTTATTTATACAAACAACCCTCCTTACAAGCACATCTCCCTGTGCTGTCCTGGGGCAGGGAAAGAAGCTTCGTTGCAGCTCTCTCCTGCTATGTAGCTGCAGTGCTAAAGTCCCTTTTTGCTTTAGTCACTTTTCTGCAGGGAAAGGGTCATGCAGCGCAGGCCTTTCTGGTGTTACAGATCTGCTCTGAAATGGACTGGAATGTTCTTTCATTTCCTTAGAACCATTTTGTTGCCCTTAAATGATGGTGCCAGCATCAGGGTCCTGTGGTCTCACACTAGACCCTCGAGGCCTTACAGAAAGTCCCAGTGCCTGTTTCTCCCAACAGCACCCCCATATCGTGGTTTTCCCAAGGCCTCCATCAGGCTGCTGGGCTGTAGGAATTCTTCCAGCAGAGCAGCTGGAATTGGGATCAGTGGGAAGTGAAGTGGCAGGTCCCAGCTGAGCTGTACCAGACCGACGGGGAGCTCATGTATTATTCCTACCGCTGCTCCACCGATCACCTGGCGGCTGAGGTTGTGTTCTCTGAAATCCTACCTCCTCTCTGGCCTCAGGTTGTCTCCTGTTGCATCTGCCGTGTGGATGGATATTACACAGATGCTGGGTGACTCCAGACGGGGAATGTCACTGTCTGGGCACAGGTCATTTAACTGGAAACAGGGGCCCTGGAGCAGCACGTGAAGGGCACCACCATGGCGTTGGTCACCCTCTTACTGTCAGCACATCAGCTTTTGCTGTGCAGGAGCCAGCTTCCATTTCTCAGCTGGTACAACTGTTTGTAACTAAGAGTAATATTTAGATTGATAAAGTTTATAATTGCCTCCACCAGTGACTAAGCTAAAGTGCTTTTGTTGGGAGCTCTCATAAATGCATTTCTAAAGCAGCCTTCTAAGAAACAAAATGTTAAAGTACTTGCTGAAGAGGAATAATCTTTAAGGAATAACAGCAAGTTGGTAGGTTAGAATGTAGTCCTAACATTGTCTTTTTAGGAAGAAAACACAGCCAGCTCCTTCAGCTCTATTGCCAAACCCAAGTCAATGAACTACAGCTAATGAATGAATTAGGAATTTTTAGTGACTGCTTTCCATGAATCGTTAGTGACTATCTGATGGATCTCACTGCTTTGCTGTTGCAAAGTTTGCGAAGATAGATTTACTTTTGCTTCAGTATGAGGTGTCAGTCCTTTCAATCTTAGTCTTCTTTACTGTGATACACACCAAAGGGCTGATGTCCTTTAAGAATATCCCTGTGACATTCTTAGCCTGGGGATGCACTTGATTCTGAAGAGATATTGCTATATTCAGGAAGATGAGCCGATTAGCTCATAGAGCATCACCACAACTAATATATAGCAGGGGAGAAGAACCCCCATACCTCTTCCTCAGCAGGCTTCCCTGTAGAGCAGGGTTTGTTCTAATCCTGCGGGTTATAAACGCATGCCTGGAGCACAGCAAAATGTCTCCTTACTGGGTTCTTCGCATGGTTTCTTTAAAAGTAGTTTTCATTAACTTCTCTCAGTGAGTATACTGGGAGGAACTGCAGCAGCATTGGAAGAGGTGGCCTGCAACCTAAAGGTGCGTGAACACACAGATAGCGCAATATTGGCCATGTGTATTCCACCTCCTGCTTAGTGCAGTGGTTCCCCTGGAGCTAAGGGAGGAACAAGTGACCCCGAGGTGGCAGGAAACACCCGAGGACAGGAACAGAGACACACCAGCTCCATTTTAGAGCTGGCAGAATTGGCCTCTCTCTTCCTGACTGCTATCTGAGGTCATGCTGCAGTTTCTAGCAATGCAGCTGAATTCAGCTCCTTGTTTCCACATTGCTTCAGGAACAAATGCGTCCAAATACATCTGGAAAGTAAGAGGAGTGCCACAGCAAAGCGCTGTGTGCCTGCCATGAGCCCCGCATTGTCATACAGCCTCATAAAGACATCATTTTCCCAGGGCTTCAGCTCTATTAAACACAAAGCTCCAAATGATTTCCTACTTGGATCAAAGATGTGCTTGTTCCAGTGGCACTTCAGCTTAAAAGGCAATACTGGGAATGAATGAAATCTCCCCAGTGGCAGCTGCTGAGGTTCAATGGGTTTGTCAGTGCCGTAATTACGCAGCGGACGGCTCCTGTTTGCTGGCCCATGTGTTCCTAAGGGTTTTCTGCAAGGGAAACAGCACAGGGAAGCCTTGCTCCCAAAGCTGAGGGGCTTCTGCTGCTGTGGGATGGAGACCTGCTCCAGTTTCACGTGCTGAAACGTGAAGAAATTTCACATGCTGATTCCAGACTTCAAACTGGAGTGCTCTTACTTGACCAAACTAGGTGGAAACATCTGACAAGAAACAGCAGCCTACTCCCACTGTCCCAGCACTGGTGTGTTAATACGGACACTAACCACTTTTTGGTAATCCCTGTACAGTTACAACTGCTCTCTGGAAGTGAGCTCTTCCCTCAACTGATGGAGGAGCCGGCACTGAGGGCAGCAGCAGGGTTTGCCATGACCCTTGGTGCTAAGATGAGCCCACCTCTGCTCACAGCGCTTCTCCTTGGTGGTTAGGGTCTGGATGCTGATGAGCAATGTCTGCTCATTCAACAGCCATCTCCTTATCTAGGAGACTGGGCAGCAAGTTCTTGTCTAACAGACACGAGTGTATAGTAAGAACTTTGGAGTATTAAATTAGGCATTAAAAGAACATTAAGACATGGACCTGCAAAATGTGAAGTCAGAGCAGAGGGCACTCGAGCTCTCAGTTGCCAAAGGAACAAAAGAAACCCAATATCCTTTAGGAGGTTTAATATTGCATTTGTTAAGGTGCTCAGGTGCCAGGGTAGGGAATGCAGAGGGTGATGACGGGCAACACTTCACATCATCCATGGGGCTGCAATGGGTGCACCAAAAAATACATAACCAACACTCCATTCATGGAGAAAATAATTCATTTCATACTGTGAGTTGACCAGTTCTGCAACAGCTAGAAGTTGGTTAGCAAGAGTCTTCCCTCTAAAGTGGTATTGTGGGGACCTAAGTACACGTGTGGTCACGGGGGGGAACAAAGGGGGTCACATACACAGCCCAGTGTGACTGTGGCCAGTCCCCCAGCAGCTCTGCTGGGAAGCTGGCGTGAGGTTCTGGGCAGGCTTCAGGGAGCCAGCAGCTATGGGGACTCTCCAAGAAGCATTCACTGATAGCTCCATCATCCAGGAGCTCCAGGGAGCAGCTGGGTTGTGGGGCAGGCTCGGAGGAAGTTTCCAAAGTGCCTGTTGTGCGTTGAGGGTGATTGCAGCCGAGAGCTCCGGATCTGAACCCACCCATTGGCTCAGGTTTTGTTTCAATCTGGAGGGTGGGCTTAGTTGTTTGCTCTTGCTCATGCTTTGGAAAGGGTGTTAGCACTGCTTTGGGGCCAGGGCTGGCAGCCTCTCATGGGTGCTATGCCAGAGTGTATCTTGCTTTTCCAAATCAGCAGCTAGGTGCGCCAGTGCTGGGCTTTGCTGCCTCTCCACGAGGCAAGGTGCCATCCATCTGGGGTCTTTGTCATCCCTGAGCCTCTCTGCTCCTGCTGAATGCAGCACTCAAGAAGTGGGTGACAGAAACCGGGAGCCACTGCCTCTTACTGATGCCTCTCTGGATGCTGCCAGTGCTAGCTGTGGCCTGAAGCCTGCCATCCAGAACCTAGGAAAACTGCATGTAGACTTACTCTTGGAGCAGGGAATTTTTGGTTTATTCCTTTCATTCCGTGAAAAGGATCTTTGGGTTGCTTTAAGATGCCTTTTCTAAATAACTAATACCTTCCCTCTCCCTTCTTCCCTGTCCTCCAGGTGCTCCAGGATACTTGTCCTCCTGCCAACTGCTGTGCTCCATGGGACACTTCCCAAAGTGTGAACTTGAAGGAGGTAAGGGAGAGAGTGGCACTTGAGAACAAAGACAAGAGTAGAATAGGAACAAAGCCTGCAAGGGTGACAGAAAGCAGATGGGCAACCAGCACTGCCAGATAGCATGAAGGAATTAACTTGCCTGTGGCCAAAACCCTTGGCTGCTGCTTGGTAAGATGTGTTTTGTGAGGGACAAGCACCTTTCCTTGCGCCATGGTAAGGAAAGCTTCCCTGTGCCCCCCCAAGAGCCCCCAGCAGAGCCTGCAAAAAGGGATCACACAGAGAGGGAACATTCCCTCCTCTGAAAGCTCCTTGTTTGCACAGCAGTTACTTCTCCCTCCAGGAGCCCTTTACCATCACATCCTGAGCAAACCTTCACAAGCACTCGAGATGTAAAGCTGAGAGCTCTTTGCCTCTTGCTGGTGAGCCTGATTTTCACCTCCCTCCCCCCCACACCCCCAAAGGCTGAGTCACTGCAGATTCAAGGTGAAATCCTCAAGCCTGGGAATGAGTCGAGGTGTCAGTCGTTAAAACTGTTCTGTATTGTCTAAAAGTAGGTTACTGCATCTCCCTGTGAACAGCTCTGTCTAATTACAAGTCACAGATTCACCACAAATACTCTTTAATAACAAATTTCCACCGCCCTGTGTTGTGAAGCAGCACATTCCCTCTGGTGTGCGGGCAGGGAACGCGGGATGTGGAACACCAGGAAAGAGGGGTTTGCCTCTGATCAAACAAAGAGGAATGGATGCTTGGATCCAGCTCACTGTTCTGGGGCTGAGGCTTTGCATGATGTGTTCAGTTTAGCTCATAGTTATTAGCATTGGTTAGGTTAGGTTAGTTTAGCAAACGGTAGGAAAAAATGACTTGTGCCACATGATTTTAGTTAAACTTTCACAGGCTGCTCAGAAAGATACAAAACTGCAATACCCTCTTGGACGATCAAATTAAACAAGATTTGCAACTTCCCCTCAGCAAACTCCCAAACAGGATGTTGGGTTTTGCTGGCTGATACAAGAAAATGCCCCTGCCGGGACAGAAATGGGAAGAGCTGGAGCCAAATCAACACCCTCACCCTGCGCCACGGGCTGGGAAGGGAGAAGCCCCTGTCCTTGGCCAGGGCAACGTTATCAGTCAGCATTTTCGGACTGTGCTTTTAGGGGTAAGATAGCACATTTCCCATGCTGAGAGCTCAGGAAATCTCCACCGAGTGCTTTGCACTACATTTTTGCTGGTTTCTTTCTCTGATGCTCCAAGTGCAAAGGTTCTTTGGCAGGAATAAGGAAGTGCACTGGGATGGTGCCTTCACCTGAGTTATAAATATAAGAGATCCTTGACCTCTGCATTAATAGTTGTGTTTATTCAGAACGGAGCCGGGGCAGGGCTTCGATGTGAGCCCTCGGGGAAGGGCGAGTGGCCGGCGGCCGAGCACCCTCTGCCGGGGACCGAGCGGCTGCTGGCTGCCCCCGGGGCCAGGTCTGCGGACAAAGAAACAAAAAAGGCTCCAGGTTTTACATCATTCCCATCTCCCTTGGGAGCCTGTGGTGATCAGACTGCGCGAAACCGTCAGGATTCAAAGCGGTTTTATAGCAGGAGATGATGATGTTATCCCGCGAGTGGCAGAGCTGTGCTTTAGGAGAAATACCACAAAGAGGGAGAGAAGCAATTAAAAGAGCAGCAAACACTCCTGCAAGTGCCTTCATGCCAAAAGACATCTCCTTCCACTAATTAAGTGAAAGAAGATCATTTTAACACAAAAGGCTGCTAGGGAACCAAGCACGTTCCCACAGTCAGTGCTGCGATACCACAATAAGCTCATCCTCAGGACTGGAAACCAAAAATCCTGGGAAGAGTAAAGCAGCCTGTATAGAATTGTTAGAGAAGGCAGTGCCCTGCTCTCCGCTGGTGGCACTCACAGTTTGTTATCAGTGTTATCAGTGTAACTAACACTGTCAGGAGCAAGCTCATTGCATTTGCTGCCCTTCACTAATTTCAGCTTTCCCACTTTAGGTCCTATTCATGGGTTTAAATGAAGTTTGCCCTTTACCAGACCTGGTTTTAGTGGCTGGTTACTGGTTGCTGGCCCAAGCAACCCTGTGCCAGCTGGCTGTGGCGTTTAGTAGCTCTGTTAAAGACAACTTGATGCAGTGCTCACAGTTCCAAGGACGGCAGCTCTGCAATGCCGCCCCTCAAGAGGAGAGATAACTGGGCCCCATGGAAAAAGTTGGGTCTGATTCTTTGAACAAAACCTCTCTTTGTCTCAGGAATGTGGAGCTGTAGGGTAATGTTTAACAGCAGACCCTGCCCGCCCTCACATCCACGGGATATCATGTTCCGGGTGCATCTCTCAACATGGAGGAATGCCGCCCTGCAGCAAGCACAGAATGCTGCTTGGGATTGTGTTTCTGCAGGGAGGGCAGGAGGCAGTTCTGGAAGGACGTGGTGAGGCAGGAAAAGAGCTGAAGAGGTGCTGAGAAGGCTCTTGTACAGGGGGAGGGGGAGGAGAGGAACAAACATTGCAGAGAACAGGAAAAACGATGTGCTGGGAAATGATTAATCCACCCCAAAGGCCCTTGCTAAGAAGTGCTGGGACAAGCTCGATGGGTTTTGGCAGCCATGAGCTACTTCTGCTCCGCTCTCGACTCCCGGCTTGCAACCAGATGTGTTTAACTGCAGCTCCATCCCTCCCCACCGCATCCCCTCAGTGTCCTCTGCCCGTCCTGGCAGCTCTCTGGCCTTACACCCCCTCCTAGATGTGCATTTTCCACCCTTCCCCTGGCCCTCCACCTCCAGCAAGTGTTTCTCAAGCACACAATCCCTGCTGGGGGAAGGGGGCGGGAGCCAAGTTGAAGGACTGCTGTTCTGTATCCTGTTGTTTTCCTACCAGGATTGTTTCAGTTTCCTGCACTGTCTTATCTGGAGCTGAAAAGCCAAAGCTCTCGTATTTACTTGCTTTGTGCGTGCCTCAGGTTTCTCATCTGTGAAATGGACCTTACAAGACTGAAGAGAAACGCAGCCAGGACTATTACTGGGTGGAGGAACAGGAACAATGTGGTTAAAGGCCTTTCAGTGCCTATACAATTAGGTTCTTTATTTAGGTTCCCTGCTTGAAGCCTCTGTGTGTGTGTGGCAGAGGATTTCAGTGAACCTTCAGCACACCCTAACGCTGCACAGAGCCCACCGAAACAGAGAGGAGCAGAGATGGTTGTTCCAGGTTCCTGTGTTTGACTGTAGAACACAAAGTGCTGGGTTTGGGTTTTCCCCTCAGGGGCTCAAGCTACACAGGGGGAAGTCTCAAACCAGAATGCCTGTTTCAATGCTTTTAGTCAGCTTGGAGTTCTAAGAGCTCCCCTGCAATACTGGAGACCTCTTGGAAACTCTTTGCCACCTTTCTCTTGATGACAGCAGTAAAATAAGCATATACAGTGCTGCCACCTCCAATGCTTCTGTGTACACCAGGCATGGGAGAAATCCGGTAGATTTAAACTGCAACACTTCTTTCTCCTCGTGAGCATGAATTCACCAAACTACAGGTTCTATTAGTGCACTAAATTCCCGATAGGTTAAAGCAAAATGAAAAGCAAACGTTTACCATAGAGCTTTGGAATGTCCTGTTTTGCTGCACAGAGGTGTGGGTCCTGCACACACGGTGCTGTTATCAGATGGGAGCCTCTCCTGGAAGGAGCATGAAACCGCTGCATCACTCCCAGCTGTGCAGATACCAAACCAGACAGAAGGTTTCCAAACAAACCCCCAAGCCCAGACCCTCCCCATCCACAGGGATCCTGGGATTTTATGAAGCAGGCAACGATCACATTAATTGAAGAGGGGAGAAGTATCTGTTCTTCTTCATGGGGAAATAGATTTCATTCCCCCCCCACTCAGCTGGGACAGTAAAATTCAGGCTCATGCTGCTTAGTTCCTTTGGAAGTGAATACCAGAGCAGGGGTGGGCTGAAGGGGGGTCCTGGCTGGTTACAGAGCCCTTACTGGGAACTAGATAGCCAGAGAAAAAAGGCATTTTCAAAGAGCTCAGGAAAAGGAAGACATGTGCTTGGAGATAAGGAAGGATAAAAGCATTCCCTGTGGTAGAAATCGCGATGTTCATCTGCCAGGTCAGGCATTTCAGGGCCTTCTGACCGTGCAGGGCTTCCGTTTCTGTTGCCTTTTCCCACACAGACTGGAAGCACCAAATTACTGGCATGAAAATTCCTTTTAGTTTGTCCAAGCAGCTCAGGCCTTTGGGAGGAATTACACAGGTCAGACACGAAGATAAAACGCTGCTTGACTTCAGAAGGGAGAAGTGGATTCCCACAAGTCGATGTTGGGCTGCCCAGGAGCAGGTTGTGGGTTCCCTGGGTCGGTCTGACATCAGGTTGACAGACACCTCTCAGCAGAATCTTGGGCAGAGCTCAACCAAGGACAGTTGGCATGGCCATTTGAGGTGACTTCCAACCCCCTTTCTTGTGCTTCAGGAGATCAGAGTGGCAGCAGATCCCATGCCAAAAGCTCAAAATGCATTTGCTGCTTTAAAAATAGGGATTTTGGTCTGATTGGTGTTTAAAGCAAGCAGTGGATTTTAGTTAAACACTTGCACGTTTCACAAGCTAGCAACAAACAGCACAGCACTGAGGCTAAAATTACCCGTCCTGTTACTTAAGAGCTGTATGAGGGAACACATGGATTGATACTGGTGCTTCTTCCTCTTCTTTTTACCGCTTGAAAGTCAGAAAATGTCTGAATCCGAACCAGGGACTTCTGGTTGTGCAGTTCCCTCCATTTGGGGAAGCAAAGATTGCCAACCACAGAGGGCTGAAAGGAACATCTCCCAGAGCCTGGTTCTTACAATGCTCTTTGCTGTGTTTGTATTTCATGTCTCTATAGAGGCTGATCCTGCAAATATTGACACAAGCCCAGCTTTTATGTACAGCTCATTGGAGCTCAATGGGGACTCACCTGAACGAGGACATGTGTTCTGCAGTAGCTTTTGGACTGAGTATTGAAAAGTTTAGTTGCATCTGCTAGTCAGATTTTATATATATATATATGCACACACATATATATAGACATGTATTATTATTACTTTAGGCTCTGAGAGAGAAAGAGAGAATACTCAAGCAGTCATGTACTGATCTCCACCTGAAATAAGGCTCTGAGAGACAGACAACAGCATCATGGTGAGTATTCTATAGCATAAAAGACACCTTAGTTCTTTCTAACACAATCAGTTTTGTTAAAACCAAGTTTTAGCCATGGGGATGCAAGGTCTGGGCTTTAGTCGCTGAAAAGCAGCTCCCAAACCACCTCTTCACATATCCCATTGACCCCTGGATGCACATGGTGGAGCCAGAGGTTTGAGTCCTGGGGGCCGTGGGGAGGTTGTGGAGCCGATTCCAGACACTTCCCCTTGTTCTTTCCCCCAAGAAAGTACAGAATTGTCAGGGATCACTGATCTAGAGTTACTACTC